CTTGTTAGTTTGACTCTTCTCCTTCCTGCCCCACCCCACCTCCACTAAGCTCACAGTTGAGAGAATGCATTTTTAATCACCTTCATTCCCCAGTCTTGCATTCCCACACAGGCCCTCTGCATCAGAAGAATTAATACACACTTCAAGAGATGTTCACAGAATCACAGATTGGAGGAGGTTGGAAAGCACCTCTGGAGATCATCTTTTCCAACCCACTCGTGGCTCAAGCAGGGCCAGCTCGAGCTCAGCTACCCAGGACCACGTCCAGACAGCTTTAGAGGATCTCCATGGAGAGAGAGAGACTGCACCCCCTCCCTGGGCACCCTGTGCTATCACTGCCACAGTAAAAATCGTTTCCTATGTTCAGAGGGAACCTCCCGTGTTTCAGTTGATGCCCATGGCCCCTGGTCCTGGCACCTGGCACCACTGAAGAGTCTGGATCAGCCCTGTTTGCACCCTGTCTTTGGGGGTTCACACACACTGCTCAGATCCACCTGAGCCTTCTGCAGCTCAACAGGCACAGCTCCCTTGGCCTGATGCCCATGGCCCCTGCTCCTGGAACTTGGCACCACTGAAGAGTCTGGTAGTGTGCACCCTGTCTTCAGTGGTTCACACACACTGCTCAGATCCACCTGAGCCTTCTCCAGCTCAACAGGCACAGCTCCCTTGGCCTTTCTTCAGAGCACACAGGCTCCCATCCCTTCATCTCTGTGACCTCCCTCCAGTATGTCTACATCCTCCTCATGCTGGAAATTGCAGAACTGGAAACATTTGAGCAGTGTTTTCTCATGCAGAAATAACAATAGTATCTCCTATTGGCTTAGATTACATTGGCAAGAAAAAGCACTTGGTGGGCTTTGGCTCTCACTGCCTAGGTAGCTTCACCATAAATAAAATGCTCAGAAACTGATGAATCATTCTTTATCTGAAATAAAACCATCAAGTTTAATCGGTGCACCTTCCAATTTGAGCCAAAAGAATGGTAAATAAAGGAGCATGCAACTTCTAAAATGCTTGAGGAAACACATCTTTCCCTCATAAAAACATACTCTAATAATGAATATGATTAGCTTTGTGTAAGCGTCTCCTGAGGCACTACAGCATCTGAAGAAACCATCCTAAGAGACAAAGATGCTTCACTTTGACAGTGTGTTTACCAGCCCAGCCTGAAGGAAGTTCCAGTCACGGAACAGAAAGGTTGGTTTTACAAAACAGTGATACATGCATAACAAAAGCACAACAAAAGAGCTACCAGCCAGAGTTTAAGGGCTATGGGTAGAAATTAATTGCTGAAACACTCTAATGCCCACCCTCAGGAGTTATCAGCCATGGCCTTTGGCTCACCAACACAGTTGCTTTATCAGGAAAGCTAAAAGGAGCAGCACCTCCCATTCAGTCACACTACCAGCCAAAAATAAGTCTCAATTTGGCCCTATCTTGCTCACACATAAATAGTCCCATCAATGTGATAAAACCCAGGGTTAAAGGCATAATTTTATTTTTTGCTTCTTTACAGTAAGACTTCCATGACCCAAACAAGTCAGTGCTGTACTCTCCAACACATCAAACTAATCTGGCCCTACCATTAACAGCTTCATGCCAAAATAAATGATCAGAACACAGGACAGTGACAGGGGCAAACTGAATGTGATCCCAGCTTAGCAACAGATTATCCTGTTGGATAATCTTCTCCACACCTTTGCTGGATTTTAGGAACTAAAAAGCTCTGTATTTTGAGCACACTGTAAAGATGGTACGATTTTATTTTCCATAGGAGGAAGGCTGTCCATGATGGGAGTGGAGACAAGCAAAGCCATCTCCCCTCAGCTGTAGCAAGCTGCTATCCTTCTGAAGCTGCTAGAACATCCTGCACAAATCCTTAAATGCCCATAGTATCCACCCAGTTATCTGGGGCATTCTCCTGATCCAAGCACACATTTCTTTCCAGGAACACACGTGGAAGGTAGGGAAATATTTTTTGACCAGATGCTCTGTTACTGAAGTAAGATCAGTTGTAGGTAGCATTAATCTATATTCCCCTTTTCTTCAGTGTTTCAGGGCAGTCAGTTCCAAGCAGCTTCCTGGAAGCCTGATGGCAAATTCATCTTCAGATCCCAGAGTCCACAACTCTTCAGGCTCAGGATAGTGAGACCTCAGGATGGCAGCCAGGAGAAAACCCAAGCCTGTGTCTTTCCCTGCAAAGGACACGGCCTTCAGCTGCCAGAATTCCTCACCTTCAGAGAATGAACATCCAAACTCAGGCTCCCTGCAGGTGCCATCATTGCTTTTGACAGGAGACTGAATCCCTTCTAAGAGGGATTGTAGACACACAGCACTGGTGAAAGGGTATTTCTGACACAGGACTCAGAACAAACCAAATCAGCTTATCCCCAGCACAGGTGTACGTGCTGCCAGTAGCTGCTGCAAGTCCACATTCCAGCACAACCTGGAATTAACCCTGTATGTGATACAAAGGAGTTAAATGCCTTCAAATTAAAACCTGTCTTTAGTGAGTATATTGCTTAGGTATTAGTGTGCTAGAAGTTTGAATTTGACATTTCAGCCCCTTGGACACCTCAGATAATGCACTGATAGAGTAACTGCTTTACTTTAATGCTGTTCCGTGCTAAAGCCACTCAGAACATTCCACACCAAATCAAGCCATTACAATGAGGGCCTTCTCTGACTTCCTTTACTGCTAACTTATAAATTCCAATCACACCTTCATTTTACTCCTAAAAGTGCAGGTCAAGAGTAAAAGTCAAATAGCTTTACTTTCTGCAGAATGAACACCACAAGTAAACAATTTTAGATATAACCATTACTGCAATACATACTTTTTAGAAGCTTAGTGTACCATTACATATACTTTGGATCAAGATATAATTGAAGAGATGATTGTTAGCACCATTTATGAATAGTGACCATGTGAGATTTTAAAATTTAGTTTAGCAACTTGACACTTATTTTTATTTAGAATTCATGTGTGCTCTTATCTTGCAGCAACAGTTATTAATAGAAAGGATTATGGATATTAATCAACTGGGAACATAAGAACATGTTCTACAGGAATAATAAAAACCATCATCAACTCCCCAGGTTCTTGGATTTAATGAGAAATCTGAAGGTAATCCCATCTTGTTAAATAGAGACTTAGAGGAGTAACCACTTACCTGCAAACAGAGCTTCAACCCACAGACTTGCATGTGGCACAGAGCATCCACCTCCACAACCCAGCTGCTATTCTTAAGACACATCCTTAAGTCCTGCAAGTCTTTGGGGATTGCTATCCCAAATACTTACATAATCACCCATTCCATTTTCTAGCTAAGCCATCAGCTAAATACCAGAATGCAGCTCTCAAAAGGGAAAGCTCAGGAGCAAGTGGGGATAGAATCTCTGCAGGGTAAAGAGAGAGATTCTTTACTTCCAGGTGGGCTTCTGTTTCCTCCCTTTTAAACTGGACTTTCAGACCCCTTTAACTTCAGTCAAGTTCATTACCAGATGGTGAGAAAATTCTGGAAAATGGCAGAATGTAAATGCAAGACGCTTATTAGCAAAAGGTCTGCTCAGTAGAATAGGGAACTGTTTTTCTAAATTGCAATTTAGAGTCTAGAATTTGTAATATATAAATTTTAAATATATTTTAAAGCTCATATTGCAGCACTAATCTATATTACTCAAACATACACATGACGTTATTACAGAAGACAAAAATGCCTAAAAAAGTAAACCCAAATAATTCCATTTGTACAGCCTCACCAGACATCACTTTAACAGGGAGCCTGTATCCTTGGAAATCTTGTTTTATTCCTCTTTTATCTGGAAATCCCCCCATTAAAAGTCTTTGTCCATTCTGGCCAGCTCTAGTCCCAGTGATTTTGTAGTTTTATCTGGGTACCTCAAACAGTTTCAAGCAAAACCCACTGTAGCACTGCCATCTTGTTTCTGAATTGCAATTCTGAACAGGACACTCAAGCAGCTTGAGATGTGCCTATAACAATTAGCTCAGACTAATTTCATCAGACAATAAAGCTCCAAGCTATCAGATTTATATTCTTGAAGTCTCAGTCAGAAATAATACTAGACGAAGAAACAGGAACTGAATGCTTCCTACAAGAGTTGATTTTTTGTTATTATCTTAAGACCATGTTGTTCTCAACATTGTTTTAGATTAATTGCAGAGTTCAAAATATTTTCATGAAGATTCTCATGTGTTTTTATCTAGCAAATCTGAAGTGAATGACAGGAAGAACACAGTAGTACAGCTAACTTAAAACACTCCAGACCTTCTCTCTCTTCTCTGCAAGTACATGAAAGGAGGTTGGAATGAGGCAAGTGGTGGTCTCTTATCCAAATTAGCAATCAGTAAGACATAAGGAAAAGGTCTCAAGGCATGCCAGGGGAGGTTTAGCTTGGATATTAGGAAAAAATTACCCACCAAAAGGGCTGTCAAGCATTGGAACAGGCTGCCCAGAGAAGGGCTTGAGTCACCAGCCCTGGAGAGGTTTAAAAGATGTGTACATGTGGTACTTGGGGACACAGTTCCGTGTGACTTGGCAGTGGCTGGGCTAATGGTTGAACACAATCTTAAAGGTCTTTGCCAAGCTAAGGATTCTCCAATTCTGTGAGAAAATACAGAAAGGCAGCCTCCCATCTCTGTGATCAGCAAGCAGCAGCAGCAATCACATGTTTGACTTTGCTGTTCCCACCATCCCTGCAGCCAAGGTCGCCATGAAGACACAAACCTCCATTTCAGTATTCTGCAAATCTCAACAAAAGAAAAACATTTTATTTTTTTGTTGACCTCAGCTGACAAAAAGGCTTTTAAGCTCTTGAAATAAACGTCAAAGCAGAATGCTGCTGTTACCTTAGAAAGAAGTCATATTTGTGATCAAGTTTCTTTGCATGAAACTGATCAAACTGTTTCACTGACAGCAATAAACAGATATAAAGCATAGGTTTCTCTTACAGGGAAAATTTGGAAACAGACACTGTACCTTACTGTCCTCATCCTCAAACACGGACTGGTGAACATTACAGGCGAAGAGAGAATTTGGGAGATCGTTGAAATCAATTATTTCATGAAAATCTTCCTCTGCAAAACATCTCTTCAGGCCGTGGTCTCCATTGATAGAGTAGAGCAGGAACTGCCCTCCGTCCTCCGGGGTGCAGCCGTACTGGCCAAGGCCCCGCATTCCAAAGAGGTAAGAATCTCCCCTCATCCCTGGCAGCACAGAGAAGAGAACATCACACAGTTACACAATGTATTTGAACATTCCACATCCACAAGGTAACCCAGAGATTCTTAAGTCTGGTGGCTCCATTTGTACAAAGTAAATTTCACACTATTTCAAGGCAACAACTGGCCTCTGACACAGGGCACTGAGACCTGTCTCACCAAGGTTCAAACAGGGCTTTAACTTCATTTATTAGCACAGAAAAGGCCTAAACATACCAGCACAAGCTTCTGAACACAAGCAGAAGAGACATTACTTAAGGGCCCCTTGCCCTGTGAGAAAACACTGTGCTGTATTTGGGTTTAAGAGAACCATGTTTAGAACCTGGTTCTAAATGCATTATTGACTGTACTCTAAAGCTACGTGAGAAGAAATCAGAATGTGAACCTGAGCTCTTTTTGCATCTTATCCAAAGCTGTGAATCACAGAGCACCTCAGCTTTCAAACAGGCAGAAGATTTAAATAAGGGAAGGATTCCACCACTGGTTTTCTGGGTCAGGTTCCTCCTGTGTTATTACACAGATGCTATAGACACACTGTCTGTTTAAAATTTGCCTCTTCTTAAAAGGATGAGAAATTCTGTTCTCAAGCCCTTCCCTGTTACTGGGAAGGCTGCTGGTGCTTTTGAGTCTGCAGGCAGGTCAGGAAACATAATGCTCAGGATAAGAAGAAAAGACCCTTATGGAAAGGAGCATGAACACAGCATCATCAAAATACCAGTACAACCAAGATACATCTCTGCTTTAAAGAACACAGCCAATTTTTTCTACAGTTTAAGTACAGAACTTAGGCTGGTTTTCAAAGCCCATTAGCAATTTCTTTGTATCTTAATCACACTAGGAAGCAAATAAAGTTAAGGGAAGAGTGAACTCAAGATGACTTTCAGCACTTTTAGGAAAGTCCTGCTGATTTTGGAGCCTTTATCCCAAATGCATTAGTATAGAAAGGTAATTTTAAGGCACACAAAGTGAGCCCATACATTAAATGGTATCACCACTGTTGTTATGAGAGAAAGCTTCATGCCAGCCAAGGGGAGTAAGTCAAGGTTCAATTAATGATCAGTGTGTTAATTAGTATTAAATCTGGTATTTAGCAGTGCTTAGTAGACATCAACATATTGCATCTACAAAGCCCCAGTAAGTTAACTAGAAGTTTACTGGATAATAATCTATTCCCTTTTATTTGTTTCTTTCAATAACAATATGCAATCATTAGCTCCTTTTCCTCCTAGCACAAGCATTTAGAGAGTTACATAAACTCAGTGTGCTCATCTGTTCTGCTCTGCCCTTGCTCTCTTGCATACTTGCTATTCTCTATAAATAGCTGTAAATATTAGCTCAAACACACTATATAGAACTGCTGTCCAAAATTAAACCATATGGGTTTATCACACTTAATCTCAGTAAAGCTAAGTTATGGAGCTAATTTGCCATGGCTGTGCCTTTCATATAACCTCTGCTCTGAAATGAGATTTGGATGATGACAGAGCACATCATTCCATAACATAAGGTTATGGAAATATCAGTAATTGTTATTGCTGGAGTCTCAGGGCTAATGACAGAAGTTCTCAAGTACACAAGCTGCAGCCCTGCTCAAAAGTACTGTGCTAACCTGAGGATGGGTTTTCAGGCTATCAAACACACACTTTGCTTTCAGCAGCTCAGCCCAATACTAGCACAACTACCTCCAACTAATTTCAGTTTAGAAATTAAATTCTGATTGGAAAGAGGAAGCCTGAACAAATGGCAGAAGAGATGGCTACAAGCTCAGCAGTACACGTTAGTGTAGGAGAGCTCACCCCCACAGCAACGTTGCCTCTGGTATTTGAACCACCTCACTTAAGCTTTGTGTTACTGCACATTTCATGGTAAACACATCTGGGGAAATACTGGAAAGAAATCCTCACAGCAGCCAGAAACTTCACATCAGAATGCAGTATTTTCTCTAGCAAAAAGCTTTAATAAATCATGTCCTCCAAAAACAATCATCTCTAAGCATGTTTGTCATCATGTCTAGCCTGTGTCATTAGGTTTATGGAAATGAACCTCAAGCCCAGTGTGTTACAAAACACAATTTACATGGCAGAGCAGACTGGTGCCAGGCTGTGGGAAGAATTTCATTCACAACAGGCAAACAATTTGCAGCCAGGGAAGACACTGACCATCTGAGAGTTACACTGGACATGCTGAAGTTGTAGCAATCTGGATTATAATGTTAAAGCAAACAAGTTTCACACCTCCTTTCCCAAGGCACAACAAAGCTAACTGTGCAGAGAAGCAAAGAATCTCAATCTATTGACAGAAGCCAGAAAACTATATAGACTTTCTCATCAAACAGTTATTTATTTTTCTCTCCTGGGATAGCCATATTATAATAAAGTACTACATAGGAAAGCTTTTAAGTTAGGAATTCAGCAAAACTACTATGACAAACAACAAAACAGAACAGGATTTTAAGTTATAACCATGAAGCTCAGGTTTTTAACCAATAACAAAATGAACATATGCTGCAGCAGCCAGGATGAGAAATTAATAAATATTTACATCATGTGGCAGTAGTCTTGCTCTGCTAGAGCTCCTGGATAGGAAAAGCTTGATTCTTTTTCCAGCCAATTATTGAGACATTTTTGCCCAGTGGGACTTGGGTATTGGCCAAGTCTTTTTAAGAAAGTCACTGTCTCACAGGCTTTTGGCCAGCTCTTCTCCCAGACTTGCAGGTAGGTGTCTGTGCCTGCACAGGCATCTTTTAAGATATACCCAGAGTTTTGAATAGTGCTCTCTCCACTATTAAGTTAACTTATACCTGATTCCTAAATCCTCTGCCCAATTTATGATGGGATGGTTAAGAACACCTGTATGGAATAACTGTTGCTTCACAGATTCTCCTTTGCCATGCACTGCACCATAGAAAGCACAGCACCACAGTTAAAACAGAAACTCACTAAGAAAATACTTACATGTCCCCAAGAGAAATAAACTGCCTGTGAGCCTGAGCTCAACAATAATCAGAGGGGACAAACATACTTGAATCAACATTTGTTAGCAGACTTCCATCAGAAGTTATCCACAGGCATAAGATGGAAATCATACATTTTTCCATATTATGAATAATGTTACACATAAAAACATTTACACACACACACACACATATATATATGTAGAAAATCATAACTTCATATCCTTTATTATGTCTGTCAAACCTTGAAGCTCAGGTATCATGTTGTTGGTAGTGTTTTTTGCCTTCTTTGAAATTACTTAGCCACTTCAGGCAGTCCTCTGACAAAAAAAAAATCCTTTTTCCAATTATTCAACTAATTTAGAATAAAAGAATTTACATTTCAAATCCCTTAAAACAATTAACTCCAAGTCATGTATTCATCCATGAACTGGATTTCCATATAAAATCAGCCCAATTAAAAGTAATCTTTTATGTTACGACAATACAATCACTGGATCACAACATTCCCATTTATGTTAAAGCTCCTTTCCACAGCTTCTGACAAAATAAGTTAACTTCATCCCCTCAGGATCCTTTTTTATATTAAAAGGAAAAAAAAAAAAAAACAACAACAAGAATAACAGAAAAAACCAACAACCAAAAAAACCCTACACAATAGTAAATTGTATTTACCTTCCTTTTAAAATGCAATGAATAAGTTAACTTCATCCCCTCAGGATCCTTTTTTATATTAAAAGAAAAAAAAAAACAACAAGAAAAACAGAAAAAAACAACAACCAAAAAAACCCTACACAATAGTAAACTGTATTTACCTTCCTTTTAAAATGCAATGAGTTTACATAGAGTTATGCATTTGCTTCTCCCCTCCCAAATCAGATTTTACAAATACTTGAGATACCAGAAGTTACCATACAGAATCTTAAAAAAAGTGACAATGCCATTAAAAAAATATATAGACTAATATAGGCACTGTCTAGAACCAATACTGATGCTAAAATATCCAAAATCTTACCTGGGATCGTGACAGCAAACTCTGTCAGGATTGCTCCCCTGAAAAGTCTGAGACACTGAGGCAGATTCAAACCTGAGGCAAACAACTTCATGTAACCCCCAGCTAAAGCTGAGCACTTGCCACATCCATTTATTCCCTTTACTTAAAGCACAACTGAATGTGCTTATTATGCTGTGTTATTTCTGAATTTGGTGTAAGGTTTGGACCCTCAACTTTAACACATCCCACAGAATGAGAACCTCAAGAGTGCTGCACTTTTAACCCTTGGAGAACCACAGCAGCCACTGCCCTCCCAGACCCTACACATCACTTCACTCTCACGTGGGTTACTTTAAATTTCTCCTCCCGTGGTCCAGGTGTGCAAAGGTTTCTAATTTGGGATGGCTCCAATCACAAGGCAAACACCCTTTCCTGGCACAGATCAGGTCGTGTCAGTGTTCAGCACTGGAGACGCTGTGACCAAAATCCCTGTAGAGATTCCAAGTGGGAGCTCTGTGTTCATTCTGTTACCTCACTATTTTTAGACACAGTACACCTCTAATTAAAATTAACAGAGGCCAGCAGAAAAATACATTCACTGGAAAACAGCAGTAGCTCACTGAAGTTTCTCTTTGAAAAATGACACTTATTTAGTATAAAAGTGAAAGGGTAAAGATGTACATCTTCTCATGAAGTCTGATCCCTGCAGAGCCAAAACCTTCAGCAGAAATTGCATTGAATGAAGACAATTTGAGGACATGAAATGTCTGAATGGACCAATGCTTCTGTATCACTGAGCATTGATTGATTTATCCACTGTTTTTATGGAAACTAATAAGGCATTTCCTTGGTGAACATTTCCCTGTCTTTGGAGTTTTTAAAAAGAATCCCTGAGGGACATCAAGAAACAGGCACATATCTCTTGAAATCACTAGGAAACTTAACTTTTTTTTATTAAACACTGCTTGCCATGACAAACAACATGACTAAAAATAGAATAAAGCAAACAAAACGTTACAAATAGAAGCTTTAAATATAATCACTATAAACTAGAAGTATTATTGAGTCCTGAGTGCAAACCTGGAAACCGTAATCTGCAGGAATTAAGAAAATTTGGAGAAAAAAACAAAGCAAGAAAAGTTGCAGTTGCTTTTGTAGAAGGGTCTAGGAGAAGTGTAGGGATTCCATCTTGGCTCCAACTGAAAAAAAAGCCCCCAAAAAGCAATTTGTACCATAATTCAAAGACAGGAAAAAGCCAGGAGGGGGGAAATCAAACCTAGTGAATAAGATTTTACTGCAAGAATAATTTTTAACTTAAAATATTCACTGACTTTACAGCAGCAGAGCCACCAATTTCAGTGGTGTCAGCCTAGGGTTGCATCTCCTGCTGAATCCAACTGGCCCCACACGGAAGGCTCTGTCAGAAAGCACAAATGTGTCAGGGAAGGTCACAGAGTAACTTACTGGAATTTCATTCCACTCTGCACAATGAACGCTGGAGATGAGCATTATTTTTAATGGTGCTAATTCTTCACTGTGGAAAGCTCCTATGGACTTAAACAGAGGCTTTTTACTTAATTAGAAAGAGCAGAACTGGACCTCACATGACAGGATTAATGAACCTTTGCAGCCTCAAAAGCAACAAGGACTGTAGTGACCCCCTGCCACAGCTTCACCCTGATCTCCCACCTGGGCAAACTCCCTTACAGGAATCAAAGTCACCAGTACAGGGAAGTCCACTCACATCTGAGCTCCAGTTTGGTTAGCACCACACAAAAATAGTGCCAATCTCCACTTTTCCTCTTACAAAAGTGGCAGATATGAGAAAGCATTTAGAAAAAAAAAATTAAAATCCTCTAACTGGTGCAAATCCCAAATGTTCTAATCCTTTCCATTGACATTCTAGCCGCATTAAATTTAGCTGAGACTTGGGAACTATTTTTGGAAGCTTTTAACATCCAAAGGGACTATTCAGTTTTATTCCTGTAAAGCAGGACTGGTCAGCTCAAGCAGTCCAAGACATGCACATCACACTGAAGGTTCAGCTGTGCCTCCCACGCCAGGGATGGATCCTGAGACCACAAAGGGACTCTGGCACTGCCTTGCTGAGCATCTGCATCTCCAGCACGGGAGAAAACGATCCAGGAGGCACTGGTGAACCCAACCGAGCCAAAATTCCAGTGCCACTGCACAGCAGGAAGGTGATACTTTGGAGCAGCCAATGCCAGGTGTGAAGATTCCCTGTGCTGTTCTTAAAGTCAAGAAGCTGAGCTTCAATCAGCTGGGCACTACAGTAACCATGGCAACATTAAGGTATTCAAAGAAAAAAAAAACAAAATCCCTCCCCAAACACAAAGAAACCAGAACAAGCCTCCTGATCACCTTCACTTGGCCTCTGTGCTAATCTATTTAAAGCAAGCCCGTTTCATAAGGGGCAGGCAGCATTAGAACGTCAGCAGCCTTCAGCCAGAGCTGTCACCTCACACGGGGTCAGTGGAGCACTCCCTGCTCAAGCAGCTCCTGGGACTCAGAACTGCGCCCCAAACTCACCCAGAGCCACCTGCAGCAGGGACTCACAGGGTTTAACTCCTAGAAGGCACTCAGGACACAACGATGAATTGGAATAACATTTCAAAGTTGCCTCCTCTAAAAGGATCCTCTGCTAGCACAATCAAGTAATTTATAAATTATTTCATTAATTACTGCAATGCAATGACAAACCAAGCTACTGAATCTGGACACAAACGACAATACTTGAAAGGGGACAGACAAACTGAATCACACACCTGACAACTTCTCAGAAGTTTAAGGAGGACAGGACAGATCCTGCTGTGACAGGCACCAAAGACTAGTTAACAGAGACGATCATCTACAGAAAATCTCCTTCTGTCCCTGTTTACTGAGATGTGTTAGCATTTTTCTGTAGTGCTTTATATTCTCACAGTATTCAGACTTTCCTCTGTACAAGGATGATGGACAACCACAGCATTTAGCTTCACTGCAAGATAAATACAGCAGTTTCTTTACACTAATATGCATTTTCATAGAATAGGAGTTTTCATCAGGGCAGCCACTCTAACTAGCTAAAAGATCAAACCATTTCCAAGGGCAAAACTTGAAAGCCAAAGACAGAAGCTGGTATAAAATACAACCTCTGATTAAACTACAATTCTCATTTATATGATTTCTTTCAGCTGTATAAACTTATTATACATTTGTTTTTAGGAACCTTCATTAAACTTCAAACTCAAGAAATAAAGGAGCACAATATTTTAAAGAGGTCCAAAAGAATACAGGATAGGTGAGGGGGAAAAAAAAAAACAAACCAGCAAGTTTGGAGAGCTATCTATTACATAAGCATCAAATGATATTGGCTTGGGATCACGGAATCACAGAATGGTTTGGGTTGGAAGGGATATTAAAAACCACCTCGTTCCAACCCCTGCCACGGGCAGGAACACCTTCCACTGTCCCAGGCTGCTCCAAGCCCCATCCAAGCTGGCCTTGGGCACTTCCAGGGATGGGGCATTCACATCTTCTCTGGGCAACCTCTGCCAGTGCCTCACAGTGAAGAACTTATTCCTAATATCGAATCTAAACCAGCCTTCCTTCACTTCCAAGCCATTCCCCCTCGGCTACAGCAGCCAAGTTTAAAGCACCCCGAGGAAAGCCTCTCTTTCTCAGGCTCCCGGCGCAGCCCTGCCCGGAGCTGCCCAGTCCGGGTCCGCATCGCTGCGACCCCGACCTGCTCCCAGCACGGCCGCAAACCCCTTCCCACCTCCCCATCCCTCCTCACAAGCTCCTCCGCACCCCACCGGGGCAGACACGGGCCCCAGCCCCAGTCCCTCCCGAGGGGCGGCCGCGGGCTCGCCGCGCATCCCCCGCGCCCCGAGAGCCGCGCGGGGAAGGAGCCCCGAGGGCAGCGCGGCGCCGGGGCAGGACCGCGGGGCGGTTGCATAACCCAGGTCTGCCGGACAGCGCTGCGGCCCCGGCGGGGAAGGAGCCCCTGGGGAGGCGGCCGTGCCCTTACCTGCGGCTCGCTCGCCCTTCCCTGCCCGCCCGGAGTCCGCCTCACTCCGCGCCCAGCGCTCCCTCAGAGCGCCCCGCGCCGCGCCCGCCAAGGTGGAGGGCGGGGCGGCCCAATCAGCAACGCCTCCGCCGAAACAGGCAGGAGCATCCACCAATGAGAACTCGAGAAGCGCGCTGATCCCGCCTCCCACACCCCTGGCCACGCCCCCAGCTCCCACGGCGACCCTCCGTGAGGGGACAGGGGACAGAGGAGAGGGCACGGGGATGGATGAGTGGGGCCAGGCGAGCCGGGCAGGGGATGTGTGGGGACGAGGGATGACCGAGGCCAAGCAGCAGGTGTGTGGGGACAGGCGGGAGGGACACAGGACAGGTGAGTGGCACAGGGCAGTGAGGGGACACAGGTGACCAGGGCGGGAGCCCGTGACACCCCAGCACACAGGGAGCGATGGGAACCAGGCAGGGTTTGTGTTCTCCTGGCAAAGCTGCCAGGAGTGGGGTGGGATGGGATGGGATGGGATGGGATGGGATGGCTTAGGGTAGGGGAGAGGTGGGGTAAGATGGCATGGAGTAGGAACACACAGGATGGGCTGGAATGGGAGTGAAGAGGGGTGGGATGGGTGGAATAAGGTAAGGTAGGGAAGAGCAGGTGTGGGATGGAACGGAATGAAATGGAATGGAGAGGAGAGATGGGGTAGGAGAGAGGTGGGATGGGATAGAATAGGAGAAGGGGTGATGGGATAAGGTAGGCAGAGGTGGGGTGGGATGGACATCCTCACAGGGCACCTCGCCATGGTTTTAGTGACAACCCTCAGGCCCTCCTGTGTGATGTTGCAGGGGTCCTCATTACTCTGGAGGATGGAGCTCCCAAGACCATGTTCCCCTCTGACCACCAATGCCCAAACTGTCCTTTGGAGTGAGCTCCATCTGGGATGGAGCCACATCTTCAGCCCAACAGGTGAATCAGGGGTAACTCCCCCCTACAATGGGGACAATGCCAGACCAGAAGAAGCATTTGTAGGGCTCCAAAGGAAAGTCACGTTTACAATAGAAAAAGGCTGATGCTGGTCATGATTTTAAAAAGAAGAGAAAGCCCTCAGATGCCCCCAAGGCGTGTTTTATTAAAAGAAGGGCTATTTTCTCTCCTCCAGCTGCACATCCGAGGCTAACACTGATTTTCTGTGGTCTCCTCTTTGGAATGTAATACAAAGGGATTTAATCAATAGGGTGCTACAGAAACGTAAATAGGTTTTTGTAAAGATGGCTTTGAAAATCTATAGAATGTAATGAAGAACTAGAAGACTCCCATGTAATTATTAAATACCCTATAAAAATCTCTGTATAGGAATAATTCTCCATTAGTTAAAAGATATATAAAAAGATGTGTGCCATTTATAGCAGCACTTTCCAATAATAGCAGAAAATAAATAGTGTGAAGAATGAAATCAATAGTGTATCCCATCTCATCTCTGCAGACAGCAAAGAGCAATGGAGATTGCAACAGAGGAGTTTCTTCCTGGTCCCTTAACTAAGGATTGACTTATGCCTTGATACCTTTCAGGGTTTCTGCTTCAGTTCTACTTTTATTTTTAAATGTATAATAGGTAACTTATAATAGTAATTATTATTTTCATTGATTTGCCCTTGTGTCTAAAATATTGATCTCTGACCATGATCTTACTGCTTTAGGCATTATGCAGAACAGTAAGCAAGCTATGGAACCACAGATGCCACTATATAAACTAATCAGGTTTTAAATCAAATTATCTGCTTGTTGGTTTTTGTTTTGGGAATTAAACCTGGTAGGATATTTTCCTTTGTCTCCATTTTTGTGTGTTCCCTTTGCATGATGTGTTATTTTAATATTCTGAGTAGGAAGAGCATCCACTGGGCTTTTTCTGTCCTGTGTTTTATGTTATACAATTTCCTTGTGTCTTCTTATCTCCATCCTCTTAACTGTATCTTGTGTCTCAATTTTTATTAATTTTCATATTGGGAAGGATGTTTCCATTGTGATTAAGCTGCTCCAGCATATGTTTTTCTTGTGGTAAAATAGGAATCTTTGCAGTTTTGAAAGCAAGTTAACCAACCCATGCTCAGGAAAAATCAGGAAAGCCAAGGTCAGCACTTTGGGTTTATATGAACCCAGGCATTACTGCTAAGATGAAGGGGAAAAAAACCCCTAAATTCCACTGATTACAGTGAATTGTCCTTCAAAGTAGATAATTATAAAAATGGCAGCAATTGCAGGATTTTAATACCCCTGTTATAAGCATTAAAGATCTCTGTTAGGAAAGGTCACAAAATAATATATTATTTAGACATGGAGAAATGGTGTTGCAAAAATAATAGGATAAGAGCAATTGAGAGAAAGTCCTTTGTGGAGTCCCACCCTTCACCCCAGAGCTGTTCAGGCCATGCACCCTGTGCCTCTTAAGGGCTGTGGCCATCTTCCCACAGCCCAAGCAGTTGCAGAGTGCCAAAACCTGGAGGAAGCTGTAATTCTGGAAAGGATACCAAAGGAGGTGATAAAACAGCTGCTGCTTGCAGGATCCACAAGCAGTGCTGTGAGCTCATCCCACAGAACTGAGTGGGAGTTTGTTACTGATATCCCAGAGCACAGGCTTAGCCCGTCTCCTCCAAATCCTGAGCTGCTCATTATCTTCAGCCTGCACCTGCTTCCCATCTCCAGATTTAATCTGTAAGCAAAAGTGGCCTCTCAAGTGTGCTGAAGCAGACACTGAGAATTTCAACACAACTGAGGCACTGTAACCAAAAGATTTTGCCCCCTGACAATGTTACCTTGATTTCTGATCATCAAAATACAAACCCTGGCTAAGTCCTGCAGCCTTTACAGATGTTCTGGTAACAAATTCTCCTTTTTAAAGGAGTAATGCCTGAAAATCTGTAGATGCTGAAGAAGTCAGTGCTTCATCTTTTACATTTCTGCTTACTGGGATAATCCCAAATTCTTTAGCCAGATATGGATTATGATTTCTTGCAAATGGCTGAGTCTGGAGATTACAATGGATAAAGCAAGTCAAATTAATGTTGACTCTGTCAGCATTATAATCTCAATTGTTACTTTTTTAGAACATAAAAAACACAGTTGGATCCATCTAACTTTGTCTTTTGTCTCCAGCAGCCACGACTGGATGCTTAGTAAATCAGTGTAAAAATAGGCTCTGTGTTCTCCTATTTACCTTATAATATTCCAGCAACTAGGGAAGTAGGGATTTCTGGAACTCATAGTTGAATCCAAGTTACTCCACTTAGTAGCTACCAGTGGTCCTGTTCTCTAGGACTTTTTAATTGTTTTTTATCCCATTTGTGGTTTTTGCTTTCCACAATATGCTGTGACAGGATGGCTCTTCACTGTGTAAAAACGAGTTCAAGTCTTATCCCTGTTTAAGCATTCCTTTGTTATAGAGGCAGTAAATGTATTGTTTATACCTTGTCACCATCATTCCACAATTTGGACTGACTTAAGATGAAGGAAGAGGGCAGGTTTAGATTAGATATTAGGAAGAAATTCTTCCCTGTGAAGCTGTAGAAGCCTTGGCAAGGTTGCCCAGAGAAGCTGTAGATTCTCCATCCCTGGAAGTGTTCAAGACCCATCTGGAGCAACCTGGTCTAGTGGAAGGTGTCCCTGCCCATGGCAGGGGTTGGAACAAGATGATCTTATAGGTTCCTTCCAAACTATTCTGTGATTACTTTCTAGCCTTTAATTGGATTTTTCTTCAGCTCTCCCTTTTTATATTTTATGTGGTTTTCTCTGTTTTCACTGGGAGACTTTATAGCCTATCTAATTTTAGATTATATTAGAGAGGCTATAGCCTCTCTAGCCTATCTAATTTTACAAGAAAACACTACTTTGAAACTTTGATTCTGCTAAAATGACTGTTGAATTTTGCTGGGTCTGGAATAGACAAGAGCTGTCTGGCCAAGGGACTTTGAATACCTGTGAGCATCTGGGCTAAAGAGTCCTATTGACTCTGGGGGTCTCCTCATCATCTAAAGGGGAAGCTACTGATTCTTAACATTCAGTTTCCCTTTTTGACCACTTCCTAGCCCCACACTGACATTTCCAGAGGGCGTTCCACTTCTGTCTCCAGATCTCCTGCAGTGCTAGAACCAGTGCCTCTGTGTGTGTGTGTGTGTGTGGTTGGTTTTCCCCTGTGCATTGCTTTACACTTATCACTGCTGAGCTTTGTCTGCTGGTTTATCACCCAGTCACTCAGGGCAGTGAGACAACATTGCCTCAACACCTCTCCAGTGTCTGAGTGTGCTCAGCAACTGCCAAGCAGCTTAGCTGCAACATATTACAGAGAAAAGCAAAAATGTGCAAAGCAAACACTGTCTCTTCTTGCTTTTCATCTACAGAGCATTTTACATCATTCTGGGTAAGGAATAATAATTGCACAAGTGAAAAATTCCTGCTGGAAAGGAGGCTTTCCTCTACCTGCTGTAAAATTTCAGTGCCTGTAGTGCCCTTGCACACATTACTCCATGAGCAGGTTGATCATGGAGCAGAGCTGTTTCCTTTGGGGGCTTGGATATGCAGGGAAGCACTGCTCCAGCTGGGATGTCTGTTCTCTCCAAATCTGCTACGTGGGGGTCAGGCAAGTGTGAAGCCCAAGAGAGCTTCCAGCAGCTAAAGGGGCTACAAGAGAGCTGGAGAGGGACTTTCATTAGGGGCATGGAGTGGTAGAACAAGGAAAAAGACCTTAAGCTGAAGGAAGGCAGAGTTCAGTTAAGTATTGGGAAGAAATTCTTCCCTATGAGGGTGGTGAGGCCCTGGCCTCAGGTTGCCCAGAGAAGCTTTGGATGTCTCATCCCTGGAAGTGCTCAAGTTCAGGTTGGATGGGGCTTGGAACAATGTTGTCTGGTGGAAGGGGTCCCTGCCCTTGGCAGGGGATGGAATGGGATGATCCTTAAGGTCCCTTCCAACCATCCTGTGATTCCATAAGAACCTGTGGCACTGCTCTGGAACCGCTGAGCTCCCACCTTTGCAGTGGGACACTCCCTGCATTTTGTCTCTGTTGCTCCCTAAATTCCCTCTCTGGCATATCCCTGTTGTTTCTGAGCATCTTCAGGAGCAGA